AGCTCAGCAGGTGCCACAGTGAAGAACAGAACTGGGGCACACAGGCAGCCACACAACACACCCCAGCCAGGCCAGGGCCAGGAACGGCAGGACTCCATGGGGGCTGGAAGGGAAACCTGGCACGTGGCAGGAGAACAGGGAACACCAGCCAGCCAGCCGCCTGTCAGGACTGCAGGCTCCTTCCCTCCTTCCCTCCCTCCCTCCCTCGCTGCAGCAGGCACAGAGGGACACCCCTCCAACTCTAGCCCCCCTCTCCCGTGTTTTGCTTCCAAGCACCCCTGGGAAAGGAGAAGCAGGCATCCACGGAATATGAAAGCGAGCATTTCTGCAGCACACACATGAACGCAAGCACCCATGCAGTCCGCTCAGGTTTTATGCTTCACAACTAGCAGCCTGCCCTTTCCATGAGAAAACTAGAGATCTCTTTAGTTGCCACCAACCCCCCCAAACTGGCAGGTGTCCCTTCTCATGAGCAAGGGAGGTACCTTGAAGAGTAACTGGAGTTCAGGGATCTAAGCCCTGAGGGACTGCACTGCACGCACATAGGTGCTGTCTGCATCTGGTGACAGCACACAAAGCCTGCTCCTTTTTAAGGCATCCCCCCCCCCAAGGCCCTCAGGTGTTTTTCCTACAGCCAGCAAAGGGGGCCACCCCCACCCTCGTGCCCTTGAAAACATCTCAGGAGGAAAACATGGCATGAAGTGCTGTCTTTGTTATACATGCATATGTGTGAATTTTGGAGGGGCTGGCAACCTCTTGGAAGGGACTGCTCACACCAAATTCTGGACAAATTTGCACTCACCCAAATGTAAAAGGGCCAGCCAGTTTTATACATTCTTCCTTTGAACTGGCATTTTTTCATATTGTATATGAATCTGAGGACATTACACCCTCTCTTGAGCTGTCAAGTTCTAAAATAACAAAATTCAGAGAAATCTGCATTTTTTGTGCGGCTGACCTTTAGAGTTTGCTTTGCTTAAAGTTTTTGAGCATGCTGTTGCATTTCCATAGCAGAGCAGTGGCTCTGAGTAACACGTTGTGCTGTGGCACTAAGACTTCCACAAGGCAACAGACTGAAATAAAAACCCGAAGTGCGTGCCATTACCTAACACACTAAGAGACACCTGTAATAAAGAGGAAACAACTCTTCCTTCCTCCTCCTGCTACCTCTCTCCCCCCCCCCTGCAACCACCATGTCTTCCTTATGGGATTCTTATTTGAAATATGATGGAAAAATAAGGTCTCACTTTTTTTAGTGCCTGAAGCAAAGCAGTTCAGACTGATTCAGCTCTAACTCAGACCGATCTGATATCTGATTCAGAATTTATGGCTCTCAAGCTGCCTGCTTTGGTTCAGGGCTTGGACAGACCTCTCATGCTAGAAGGGTTGTTAGCAGCCCTCTGTTATGACTGGGACTTTTGCCTTAAGCACTAAAGCAATCAGATGCCTTACCTTGGGAGGGTGCAGACAGAGGCGCTGGGTGGGTGGGGCAGCAGGTGACTGGCTGTTCTGCTCAGGCAGCAAAATGCCTTGGGTCAGCCCTATCTGGGAGGAGTCCCTTTGTTTCTCACAAGAACAACCCTACAGAGTCAGATTGGACTGAGAGGTGGCAAGATTTGCATCCAGGTGGTATGGCGGTATGGCCGCTTTCCCCCACGCCCTGCCTGCCCTGTCACATCACTTGAGAGAGCCGGTGGATGTTTCCTGCAAATTTTCACATGTTTCTTTTCTCTCTGTCTGCAAGCCTCCAAGTTCTTTCACTGACTGATGCTGTTGAAGAAACTATCCATCCATGTGTGCGCACACACGCATGCCTGCACTCTCACCCACATGCTGGGAAGAGTTCTGCTATGAAACCATCCAGCTGTTCCTCATTTCCTTGTTCTTGCATTTCCCCCCTTTAATTTTCTCATTAAAATAATGTTACTAGTGAAGGAGAAAAGATTAGCACCCTGCATGTCTCCTGAAGGAAAGACATTCCCTGAGATACAGAGGCTGTTGTTGTTGTTTTTAAGCCAGCCCCATCAGCCGTTCTGAGTTCCAAGCCCATCTTGGGAGCTAGAAAAGGGCACCTGCCCGCTGCGTCCACAGACGTCTGTGGAGGCGTTCAGGACACGGGGCGCCTGATGTGTTTGGCTTCTTCCTCTGGCTCATTCTTGCCACAACCCCGAGTGCATCTTTTAGGAAAGGGTCTCAGAATCAGGGAGGCCAGATGGAGGTCCTCCTCTCTCAAAGATTTCAGACCTAAATCCAAGACAAGATGTGGGGCTCGAGAGGCCACACAGGCTGGGAGAGAGGATGGAACTGCTTCAGCTCAGGGGCTTCCACCCATCCACCCAGGCTGTTTTACCTACAGAGCACAGATGTACTAGGAGTTTTTGAAGGCTTAAGCTCATCCCCACCGGGCAGAGAGCTTGACCCTTTCCCACAAGTGGGGTGCTTATTTTCAGCAGCACTAAACTATTGCACTAAACTATTTTTTTACTTCCATAGCCACAACAATGCTCCACTTTAAGTGAGTTAAAACAATGAACCTGTGTGAGCTGGGAGTGTCATGCTCTTTTACCTTTGCTTGGCTCTGACAGGGTGGAAAGCAGGTCATGTGCTCCCGACCAATCCTTTGGTGATGTGCAGTGGATCGACAAGGATTCCCAGCTCCCAAGAATTTAACAACTGCAGAAAACCGTTTCCTCCAAAAACTGTGGAGGACAACAGGAACCTAATGGTCTCATCCATGGGATCCAGTTGTGATCCTGTTACTGAAAATTGTTTTCTGGCTGAGTGAGTTACGTCCTAATTTTCAGCCACTCTGTTGTGCTTTGTGTCACTCTGAGGACCTCACAGCACTGGGGAAAACAAAGCAGCTCCAGCAAGGGTTTGGGAAGGGCTCAGCAACCAGGAGATACACACAACTCTCAGTGGAGCCCCTCCTAAGACTGTGAGATCTGGAGTCTAAATGGCCCTGAATGGCCCCAAGACACTGTTCAGATTTATGGGGCAGGGATGCTATGGCATCCGGACAGGAACAGCCAAGAGGGGTATGTTTACCCCCCGCGTCGTGTCCCCATCTGCGTTCTCAATGAAAACCACTTCCTGTGCCAATGGGAGTTTCCCCCTCTATGTTGACTGCTGTGCTTAGGGTCAGGATCCGAGGTGGGGAAGGGAGCGAAACCTTCCCCTCTTCTCCCTGCAATCTACTGTAATACCAGTGAACATCAGCCTCCACCCCCCACCCCACCGCCACCTATTAAAACCATGCGCTCCTCCGTAGGCTACACTCTCCATGTGCATAACGCAGTCTCAGTGGCTTCCCAACTGGGGAGCCGCCCACACCCAGCCCAAGGCAGTCCTCACAGCCACGTTCGAATGGAGAAGTGGACAAACAACTATTCAAAGAAAAAGAAAGGGGGAAAAAACCCCAGCTCCGTAGCACATTAAGAATGCCTCAAACGCCCTGTCATAATTATTTCATTGTTACACTTGAGTAGGTCCATGGCCACTGAGGCAGCTTCACAGCCCTGACGAATGTGCTTTTCATTGGGTGGTTCTTGCTCCTGTGGTTGCCTAGCTTTTCTGAACCGGCAGGTTTTCAAGGCCGCCTTCTTGAGGTGGGCAGAGCACAGGCGCCCTTCCAGTGCAGGGCCAGTCGAGGCGCTCCTTTGAGGCCTGGTTCGTTGCAGCTCGTCCTGGTCCAGAGCCACCCTGGCTTCCCTGGGGCTTCCCTGGGGCTCTGTCCCTAAGCCACAGCAGCAAGGGGTGGGGTGGGGAGGGAGACGGCCGGGCCCGTTCTCTGGCCCCTGGCTCCCAAAGCAGCAGGACAGGTGCGCTGACAGTGACCCTCCCTATTTTGACCCCTGTCCAGCTCCCTGCAGGAGAGGCCACCCTGAGGGCCAACCGCCTGCCTCCACAGGAGCAGGAACCCGGCGGAAAACTCATCCAGGTGGCAGACGGTGCCACGCCACATTGCCTGTGCCGCACCACGGATGGCTCAGGTGTGCCCCCATCATCTCCTCGACACAGGAAACTCCAGTAGGCAGCAGTGCCAGAGTTCCCACATACAAAATCATACATAAGATAAAATAAAACCAATAAAGAAATTGCTGGAGTTTGGGGAAGCCTTCGGAGAGAATGGCTTGCACAATGGAAGAGGCCCAAAGGAACACACAGCAGGGCAGAAGGGGCCTTGAGAAGACAGAGCCTCCCAGCACGCCTGGCACCCCCTCTGCTCCGCTGTGCTCACCCCTCTCCCCCGGCCAGCCCCTTTGGTCTCAAAGCCCATGCTCCTGGCCTGTGGTGGTGGTGGTGGTGATGATGGTAGGGTTGCCCTCCCTGCCAGGGAGCCGGATCCTGGCATGTCAGAGAACGAAGTGGCCCCTGACTCACCCACGCCGACCGACCATCCATCCAGAGAAGGTCTTAGGTGGCCCGGCCTCTCTCGGCTTCCCTCCCTCCTTCCCTCCTCCGGCCTTGCCCACTTGCACGGTAGTGCTGAGTTTGGGCTTCCAGCAGCGTTACCTGGGGCCTCCGGAGGCTAGCTGGACTCCTCCGCGCCCTAGAAGCCAGGCAGGGCAAGACCCGACCGGGGGCGCTGGGCCTGGCGGGCCAGCAGGAGGGTCAAGGCGGCCTCCGTGGGCAAAGAGGCGCCAGGAGAGAGGGGAGCAGGACAGGGCGGGCAGGGGGGC